ATAATTATTTTTTTCTTTAATTATTATAATGATTATTTTTACTTATTAAATCTAAATTTTTATCTTTATTAGTCGATGAAATATTACTACATTGTGGTCGAAAAACTCGATCAGGACAAAAACATGCATATGCATTAACAAGATCATAACATGTACCACCACCCAAACTAAAATTTTCAAAAATTAAACTAAAAAAAAGAAAAATTTATCTTCAAAATTTTACCATGGATTTGAAGCACATTCATTAATATCTAATAAAAACATAAGAAATAATAATAAATTTACAAAAAAAAAAAATTTTCTACTCAACTGTTTTCACAATAAGCACCCGTATAACCTTCACGACAACGACATGCATATACTCCTGTACCTGTCAATAAACATTGACCACCATTACAAGTATCTCTTGTTGTTGGACTACATGTTGAAACCGTAGGAACTGAATTCATACGTCCTCCTCGTCCTTTTAAATTATTACTAAACATTAATGATGTCATTGTAGTTGTTGGCACTGTATAAAGATTTGTTGAATCTAGTTTTTTTTTTTTTAATATGAAATTATGGAAAACAAAAAAAAAAAAAGGATTTCTGATAAACATACTAGGTGAATTACATGAAAGATTAAGTGTACCATCTGGACATATGCAAACATAAGAAGTTGTATGTTGATTTAATTGATAACAAATACCAACTGTACATGGATTTGATGCACAACCGGAACTTGTTATTTGAACTATACAACAAATTATTTTATTTTTTTTTAGTTACAAAAGAAAAAAAAAATCTTCATTACTGTCACAATTTTCACCCATATATCCTTCATAACATTGACATCGATAACCAGATTTATCTGATAAACAACGTCCATTAGTTTTACATGGATTTGATGAACAAAAATCAACTTCTGCAAACAAACAAACAACAAACAATTGATTTATAAATATCTGTTGTTTTTTTTTTTAATAAACCTTGTTCACAACGTAAACCAGTAAAATTTGGTGGACCTAATACATATAACATAAAAATACAATCCTTATTCAAATAAATACTTACATTGACAACAAGTCGAACCAATTTGACCAATATTACATGATGGTTCATCAACAGAAAATGGAAGACATGTACCACCATTCTTACAGGTCATATGTGTACAAAATGAACTAGTAGCTATTTAATAAAGAATCAAAAAAAAAAAAAGAAGATTTCATCATTAATTTCTATATTAGATCTTTTTTTTACTTGGACATGTATCAATAGTTGTATAGGAAATACCATCAACTTGACACATACACATATATCCTTTTGGTGCTGCATTTATAGTTAAACATCGTCCTTGTGAACCACAAGGCATTGATATACATGGATCTTAAAAATAATTATTTTTTATTTATGTTCATCAATAATAGAATTTACTTTTCGGTGTTGAACAATTTGTCATTTGAATACTACCATCAAAACAACGACATATATATCCATTGAGTAAATGAGTAGTTATTTCACATTCTCCTGGACCACATGGATTTGGTAGACATGGATCTAAAAAAACAAAAAACATCGTTTTCTTTTTGTTTATTTCTTTTTTTTAACCTACTTGGATCAGCACATTTAAACATTGTATTTTGTCCATCAGGACATTGACAATAATAAGGAATTTGTACATGATTTGTTGAAATACATTTACCAAGTGTACCACATGGTGATGATTGACATGGATCTAATATTATTCAAAACAAAAATTCTTTTTTTTTCTCTCTCTCTTAAAAATCAAACTAAAAACCTACTCTTTGCTTCTGTACATAAAGTACCATTCCATTCCGATAAACAATGACAAAGAAAACCATTCTCTAAATCAATACATGTGCCATTATTTGCACAGGGATGAGATTCACATTCATTTAATTCTAATAATATAAATAAACTAGCCATGTTATTTTTATTCTAATTAAACTACCTTGATTACATGTCGGTCCAATAAAGCCTGGATCACATTGACAAGTAAATGAATTAAATGTATTTGGAATACAAGTACCATGTTTATTACATACATCAGATGTGCATACTACTATTTAAGATATGATTATAAATTTAAAATAATATTTTATTATACATACCTTGAGCATTGGTAAAATTATTAAGAAATGAAATAATAATAAGAATTTTAATAAACATCAAATATGATGTTAAGTTATTGCTACTTGATGTCATAGTTCAAAGAATGTTCTCTGATTTAAAATAAAACAAAAAAAAAGAAAAAATTGAATAAATGAAAAATAAAAATTCTATGATAATATGTCTCGACGATGCCTTCATTGTTCTTTTACTCGTCGTTTGAAATGGCTCAAATGTCTGTTCATCTTCAATAGGAATGAGACATATCATACTCTCTTATAGTTTGTAAACATCATAGTATGATTTCATCTCAGACAGCTATTGCATCATATATATATATGTACAAGTATCTATGTCCTATATGATACTCACGAGATACAACACTATTCACCATGTGAAAAACAACGTCATGAAAAAAAAAACAAATGAATAGATAATAGTTTCTTCTCATTCTATTCTTTCTTTTCTTTCGAAATAATCAATATTTACAAGGAAATAAATGAACGAAAAAGAACAAGAGATATAGGTGTGTATATAATTAAACAACGACAATTGTCGCTCTAATACAAATAGTCCATTTCTCTTTTGTGATATTTATTTTTTCTATTTATTCTACCTTGAATGCTGTCGTTCAACGTTTTTTTAATGAGATGCAAATGATGATGATGATGATGATAGACAGAGAAAGAGAAATATCCCTTTATTGTTTCATGGTAAAACAAAAGACTACAATAAGAAATAAAAACAAATTCACCTTGTTTATTAGTCGGATTATTGATTGAACATCATTATTATCATATATACAGATAAAACAAATTTTGATCTGTTGTCTCATAAAATTTCTATGAATAGATTAAGACATACAATTGTTGTATTTGTTGAACAACAAAAGAATAGGTAAAAAAAAAAGCATGAATTGATCATGTTTCGTTGTAAAACAAAAAAAAGAAAAATGAGAGACAGACAGACGGACATTAATCAAACATAATGAATCAAATAAACTTTTAATCTGTGACGGATCTAGGATTTTAGTAAATACAGGTGATGATAATCACAAAAAAAACATCTTTTCTATTCAAATTAGAGATTGTATTAGTTCATTTATGTGCATTTTCTAGTAAGAAAAATAATTTTGAAGTACGAGATGATCATTCTAAGTGCTGTTATATATAAATAATAAATATTCATCTAGAAATATCTATTTAACTCATCGGTTTTTTTTAAAAATTCAAGTTTAAAACAAGTTCTATTACTAAGACGATTTCTGAACTTAGTTATAAAACTACAATATAAGATCAAAACATTTTCAACTAGAATATATCAAATTAAATGAAGGAAATTGAGGATTGCTTATTGGTAAAAACTCGTTCTGTCGAAATTATAAATTAGAAAAACAATATTGAATCTATCTCTAACTAATTTTTGAAAAGATATTTTGTTAACTAAATGAGTATGTGACCACACTGACCTTATTGAAAGAAATATGAGTAATAGCATAGAACAACAAAACATGAAAAAAAAAACTTGACTACTTTATAGTATGTATATGTTTTATTTTCACACATACTCCTCAACACTTGACAACAAGTTCTATACCAGTAAAATTACCATTTGTATATTCATTAAGAAGAAATTCAAGTATTGAACGGTCTGAATGTGTTGATAAGTCTTCTGTGCACATACATGTGTACCAAATAAATATTGATAAAACAATTAAGTTAATAATTGAACATTAACTGCAATTAATTGAAGACAAATATACAGAAGATCAATATGAAGAGATGAGTTTATTAAGAATGTATTTGGTTCCACAATACAAATTCTATCGATATATATCTCTTAATCAAGTGAGAACCTTATTAATAGACGAATAATGAATTTCAACACACTCTCAATTCGTATTATCTATAATTACGATCTTTCTATTCATATATTCAAAGTAAATATACAAGTTATTAAAATAATCAAATATAATTAATTCTTGATGATTCAAATTTTTTTGACAACATAATAAGTAAAATTAGGGTATTGTATCGGAATTCATTTGAAATTGAGTATTTATGTATTAATAAACCAAACCAAAATATTAGATTTATTTCAATGTATGCATGCGATGGGTTTGCGTGTGAGTAAATAAATGTACGTGAGAGTAGATAGTTGGCTGTTGATACTCTTTCAATCAACTGATATTGATCCAGAGTCAAATAGACCTACACATACTCGAGACATATTTTCATAGCGATGTTTAAAACTGCTCTTTTTCTCAGAAAGAACTTGTTTCATGAGCAAATAACACAAATAAATGAAAAATCTTGGCAAAAAGTGCGTCTCAACTGACCAATCATGTTAACTATGAAAGATCAGATGCCAGGCTGCTGTGCCATGTGCCTATCTCAGTTTCGACTTTTCTAACAAAAATTGATTTGAGTGTGGATGTGAAGCGATTATTCCCATTCAGCTCTGATTCATAGACTTCCTTCTCTCTCTCCCTTTTCATATGTAGCAGACGATCAGCATGAATATTTCATCCAATGATTTAAACAAGAATTAAGATTTCAAAAACTATCATTGAGAGTAGCAAACAATCTGGCTCTCTTGTTGTACAAAATTGAAGGCATTCTATAACTTGTGAACGATAGGAAATAATAAAAGAATTGAAAATATTGATAAAAATCAGTTATTGTTATATAGATGTAATTATACAATACAATTTTACTCATAACTACTATCCTTTATATACAAAACGAATATTTTTATTGATATAATAAGAACAAAATATAATCTACAAAGAAGGAAAATAAAGAATCAATTCGTTTGAATAGACAATTACTTCTTCAAAAATTAATCGCTTTATATTAGCACAATTGTGTCTTATTACATCTTTTGTAAAGTTAATAATCATCGACAGATATCATTTCAAGTGAAGTAAGATGAGGATATTCAATAAGTGAATAACATGGAATTACTTCAGCTTTATAACTATGAAAATCGACTAACGGTGACAAAATATTGACAATAAAAAAATACTTCAACAATGGAAACGCTTTAGAAATTCGAATAAAGAATTCGTATTTAAATGGCATTGTATCAATTACTATTAGATACGTAACATAATTGAGTATTATATAATTGGAAACTTATTAGTAATCATTTCGAGATGATCAAATACGAATTGAATCAAAAAAACGCTGCATATCACTTTGCAAATACGAAAATAATATATATTACAAACCATTTGATAATAATCTATATCTATAAAAGTTCGTTTGAATATCATTTTCAGATATATGATAAACTGTATCATTGATTTCAATTTCTGTACTTATAAAAAACACGAATGCATGTAGTCGTTGCATATAATTAAGAATTTCCTTATGAAGATAAGTACCATCAATGAATGTAGTTCGATAATCGGGACGTATATACAATGTTAATTTTTCCAAATATGACATACGACGAAGTAAAGGTATCACTTGAGTATCATATGTATTTGTGCTACGATAACATATTAATGAGAAACATTTTAAATTAGGTAGATCATCCTAGAAAATAAATATTGATTAAACATACTACTATTTATTTTCTATTGTTTGAAGTATACTTCCAAATCCCATAGGGATTAAAATGTGAAGCACAATGTACTTAGGTCTAACTAAAAGTTCTAAGAACATTAAAGAGTAATATAAAGATAATGAGATATTTTTAATTTTATTTTATCAAATGTTGAGAATAGTTGCCATGATTATTTATATCAAGTTTAATCCTTTGTAATAATCTATTAAAAGTTTTGTTTTTGGCCTCTTTTTTCTAAAAAATTTTTAGCTATCTTAGAAACTACATGAACTAATTATATTTCATTTGTTTTAAAAATTTAATAGAATTTTGTTTAATACTAACTGGTTTATTGAAGATGAATTGAAAAAGACTGTGGTTTATGAAGATAGATTTTAACCAAAACATTGTTTAGTATATTCTTTAAATCAAATAATCTTGTTTATAGATAAAGGCAAGACTGTAGATCACAATTATTATATTGAAAATTGTCCGAAGACTTTTGTTAATAAAATATGGAAACACACATGAACATTAGATTCAAAATGTACGAAATTGTTTGACGATCATTGTTATTCATCCAATCTTATTAATTCTATGACAGAAGAAGACATCAATATAATATCATACCCAACATATTTGCCAGGTTTGATACCATATAATTTTTGATTAGCTAATTCGACAGGATGTCCCAAAAGTCCGTATCACTTAAATTTTCCGTTTAGCTTTACTATTTGATTTAATTTCATCGGCTTATTTTTTTTTAAATGATAAGTGGATGTATCAAGTTTTTTTTCTATACAAACGAATTTCATAAGTACTGTTCTAAGATACCCTCTTTCAGCGAAATACAAAAAAAAAATTAGACTTTTTTCTATTTCCAGAAAAATAAAGAGTGTGGCAAGTTGAATAGCCGTGCTTTATATTTCAATTTTATTCACTGAATACATTGTATTAAAAAAAACAAAATATATCATAAGATGCAGTGTGAAAAACTCTACAATTTACAAAGAACAGATTATTTTATATATGCACCTTTTATATCGAAAATTCTGTACGATCAATTTTCGCCGCTGTGAAAATGTTATTGTCTTTTTACACTAACGAAATTCTTTTTTCTTAATTCACATATAAAATAAATTGTTGTTTGTAAATTGTAGAATTTTTCACGCTGCATCTTGTGATATATTTTGTTTTTTTTAATACAATGTATTGAGTGAATAAAAATTAAAATATAAAGTACGACTATTCAACTTGTCCCACCCATTATTTTTCTGGAAGTAAAACTTAATTTTTTGTATTTCGCTGAAAGACGATACCTTAGAATGGTACTTATGAAATTCGTTCGTATAGACAAAAAACTTGATGCATCCATTTATTATTTTAAATAAAATATGTCGGTGAAGTTAAATCAAATAGTAAAGATGAGTAATATGGACTTTTGGGACACCCTGTACCGAATGTAGTTTAAGTAATTAAAATAAATGAAATATAATTAGCTCATGTAGGTTCCAAGATACCTAAAATTTTTTTTAGAAAAAGAGACCACAAAAAACTTTTAGTAGATTGTGTCCAAAGGATTGAACTTAATATAAATAATCATGGTAACTATTCTCAACATTTAATTATCTCTGCATCTTTATATTACTCTTTAATGTTCTTAGAACTTTTAATTAGACCTAAGTATTCGATCTATCATGGGATACATTTCTTCATCATAGTTTATTTTATCCTGAAGAATTATAATAAAGCTATAAAATATAAACTTACAGTCTTCTGAACAATCCATGAATTACTGTTGATATAAGAAATTCGAACATTGAATGTTATTAATTGTTCAAGACGACCATCAAGTAAATAAAGACGATCATCTATACTAAATATATTGATACATAATTTTGTAAGAATCGAAGAAAAAAAAAGTAGTTGATGATAAATGATGAATTAACAAAGATGGATATTCAATATTGGATGTTCCAATAATACTTAAAAGTTTTAGATTTTCAACAAAAATTAAGAATATATATATATACAAATGTACTATAATCTTCCCATGATATTTCAATATTTTTATTATCAAGAATAAGTTCTGTTATTTTATGTTTGAGTATATGTTGAAAGATTGATTCTTCTAAACGAAAAAATAACAAAATAATATTTTCTTTTTAATGTTAGTATGCTTTGATTGTTTTGTTTCTGTAAAATATTCACCTATAAAATAAGATGAAATGATGTCATGTCGAAAATTAAACAATGTAAGTGAAGTTAAATTTGGATAATTGCCAGCAAGAAGAATACGTTCCACAGGTATAGGTTCAAGAATAAGATGTTTTACATTATAACGAATTCTTGGTAATACATCAGTACATAATCGATCAAGTATTGGATCATCAATTGATGATCTTATGACTAAATTGAGAGTATTAGTAAAAACACTATCTTGTAATAAAATGTCAAATTGTTCATTGAAAACACCCATTAATGAATATAAAACATGAATATTGTCAAGTTTCTTCAATATAATAAGTAATATCTCATATGGTAAATCAAGAAGATGAAAATCAGATTGATTCAAACTATATCTTGTCCTCTGTTGGAAATATATATATATATTTATATTTATTGTGGTGATCGTTATCGGCGACTAGAACTAATAAACTTCTTGAAAAAGTATAGTGTACAAATGTCTAGTCCATTTGGATTGTGGACAAATATTGGTTTATTTTTAGCAAAAATTCATTTATTCGTCATTGTTCAGACACATTGGAACACGAAAAAAGCAAAACAATAGATTATTTGATAGAAAAGATCGACTGAATTATATTCAAAAGCATTCTACAAATAGCATAGATTATAGTTTCGTGTATCAATGAAAATATATAATGATTAAAATTTTTCTATTTATTAGATTGTTTCTTTGCAGTTAGAAACGATCATTAACTTATCAAATCAAAATTTCAATGACTATTAAATTCATAAGGTAATTTCATTTTTTCAAAATAACATCAATTGTTTATGTTAACAAAAATGTACCAACTAATTTTTATTAATAAATTTTTCGTTGCTTGTTTTTAATCGATGATTTGTTTGATAGTAATAAAAAATACAATCAATAGATTGAATAAAGATTATTATTAATTCAATAAACTTGAAACATTCATTAAAAAAGGGTTGGTATCGAGGTGTAATGTTGGAATGTGTGAGTATCGGTTACTCCAAGATCATCGAAACGTCGAATTATTGTCTTTCTTTTGTGAAAAATATTTTCAATAATGTTATCCTTTCATTTATTATAAAGATATTGCCCTTAAAAATTACAAATAAATGAAAATGAATTGTAAAATATTTTTAATATTATTGAAATGCAAAAAAACAAAGAAAGGAATGAATCTAATGATAGAGTATCAATAATCTAACAATTTGTAAAACCATGAATTAGTACAGTATTTATAAGTTATACTGTCAATTTAATAAATTTTCAAAACAATGAGGAAAAAAAAGATTTCTTATAACTTCGATCCAAAATATGAGCAACGATAGTTTCAATATTAACCATATAGGTAGGTTCATCTATCCTTGTAACTTCTCAATGCGGGGAATAGGAACCAAGAGAAAAAAAAACCAGTTCTTATAACTGAAAGTAAAGATGAGAGTCAAACTTTCTATGATCCCAAGCGAATTGTTTTATAAATCATAATAAAGAGAAGATACTGTAAGAAGAGATAACCTAAAAAAGTGTTAGTCGTCGACTATATGAATTATAAAGTAATTTAGATTTATATAGATTCCACATTGAATCTTCAATAGGATTTCTATAAATAATTTTGTTACTTAAACCATTATTAACAATTAGCGTCTATAAGAATTCATCAGGAACTAAGAAGAAGCAGCAGCACTTCCACCAAGTGTGATGGCCGTACCTGGCGCACTTTATTGTATGTTTTGAATTCCTTTGTAATTCATATGCGAGAATTTGTGTTTTTGATATGATACTAGAGGTACAGAATTTGCCTGCATGCGCAAACGTCCGTTCGGGAAAATTACATGTCGTATTTGTATTTACTATGTTTGAAGAATTTAATTCTCTACAAAACTATCAAGTTGAAATTAAAATCTATTGAATTGTCAAATTGTATACAAAAAGATAGAGAATTTTTTTCTCTACATGCTTACGATTTTAGCATTGTTCTAAGTCTTTTGTTCAGAAGAAAAATAAATTGCTAGCTAACATTTGAAGGTATTTTTGAGTGTATTAGAAAAAAAAATTATTTATTCACAAGACAAACACATTCTATAAAATACTGTTTGTTGTACCATCATCAGATACGCAATTAAACTCTGAACTAAATAATACATGAGTTCATTGAAGAATTTCAACTACTTTGAATCAATCGAAAATAATAAGTACAGATTTGTTTGGAACTAATCTCTTTTCTATCAAATATTTTAAAAGTCACATCGATAGATGCAGAATTTTATATAAAATATTTCAAATTTTAACAGATTCATTTCTAACGATTCTCTATAATTTTTTCGCTTTGTAGAGAATTAAAATTTTCCATCTATTGATAGAAAAAAAAATCTAAAGTTTAAAATAATTATTAAATGTTTCAAAAATACAAAAACATAATTGAATCATTTCACTTCTATGAAATATAAAGAATCTAAATGAGAATATATTTTAAACAATTTAAGATAGTCATATTACTGTCCAAAACCTATATATTTAAACATCTGCATTAGATACAAAGGAATAATCATTAGTAAGAGTAGCGAGAGAAAAAAAAAATACAAATGTGTTGTTTGAAGGAAAACATTTTTGCTTTTGTGAAATAGACAACTAACTAAATCTTGAAAAAAAGAAAGAAGAAGAAAAAGTTCAAATTTTCTTTTGTGCATTTCATCATTTTGTACCACGTGTTGTATATAAATGTTGATCAGCCGGTGTACCTTGTCCATAATCACCTTTGATAGTAACAATTGATTCATTATTTTTTTTTGTTGTATGTAAAATACGATCTTTATTTACTAACATTGATGGTATATTTGATTTTGTTTCTTCTATTATATAGAAAAAAAGAAATTAATTTAATTTAATCAAATGAAAAAATAATATTTACTATTGAAAAGATTTTTTGTTTGATCTGTTATTCGAATATAAACTTGATCAAGTAAATTTGCTGATTGTTTTGGATAACAAGCACTTAATGCAACAAGTGCAGCTACTGATGAATAAAATGTTTTTCGTATTGGACCACCTTTATGACCAAGAAGAAGACCACCAAGACCAGCTATTGTAACAACACCAACTTTAGGTAGAAATGTTTGATCATCACGTATATAATCAATTGTAGCTATTATATTCAAAAGATAATTAATACAATGATTTAAAAGATAATTCTACTTTTAGCATGTGCTTCTCCAGTTTCAATTCCACGAGCAATTCTTGAACGTAATTCCTATAAATATTATAAAAAATAAAATCAGAAAAAACAACAACAACATTTAATTAAAAAAAAAGATAATAAACCTTATTATCATTCCATGTTTGTTGTACTGATTGTCTGATTTGACTAACAACTGGATAAAGCCATTTATTATTTTTAGTTGTTTTTAATTGATCATCATCATTTGTTTGTGTAACATATCGATAAGTATCATCATTTTTTACATCATAATAAATTGATAACTAAATATTGAGAAGAAAAAAACAAACAAACAATAATAATTATTTTTGTTTTTTTAAATTAAATCAAAGAAAATTTACATCACGAACTCGTACAATACGAGAATTTTGTGTTGGTTCAGTATTATTCTCTGATGCAGGTGGCATTAGAATATATTCATAAAAATGATTATCTAAAGTAATGAAGAATAATTCTTAAAAACAAGCCGTTTAACCATCAGTCCAAAAGCCATTTCTTTTAGCCACTTATACAGTTAACCTATCACATGTTATGATGTTGAGCGACATCTATAATATTGAATAATGAAAATTTTCATTTTGATAAACAACCATAGAATTGTATTAATTAATTTTCATTGAGCAGAAAATTCATACATATACATTCGACACCATCAGAGAGAGCACCTTTCTGTCGCTTTGCGATGTCCATAGACGGCGGCATAATCTTTTGATGTTTGGATAGGTTCAACATTTCTTATAAGATTTTCATCCGAAAATCATTTAAAGCCCCCCCCCAAAATAGACGGCCACCCTATATTAGAAGGCCACCCCCTGTATAAGGCCATGTCCGAGCAAAAGTTCAAACGCTCTATTAGAAGGCCATTTACTAATTAATTAATATATTCCAAAATTATCGAAGTTTTTATAAATATTAATTAATAATTAAGGAAATATAACCGATTTTCTAATGTTTTTTTGCGAAATCCTTCCTTTCCTATCATAAATAGTACAATTTTTACAAAAGATGGTAGTTTTTTCAGCAAAAATCACCTAAATAGCAATAATTAAAGTTATTAATTAATTATTAATTTTTTAAATAATTTTAATTAAAAACTCGCCAAAAATTGACCCCCAATAGAAGGCCATCCAAAACGTAGCGATGTGCCAAGACACTGTATAAGGGCATGCCCTTTTATTCTGGGAGGGGGTTTAGATGAAATTTGCAACTTGCGTAAAAAAACCGCGCATTTAAAGAAACATATGAACGTTTATATTCATCGGAATGTGAGCTTCGAAAAAGGTTTAATAGGATTTACGATCGTAGTCATCGAAGGCGAAGATTGTAATAAATTAATTATTATAATTACAAGTTTTGTACACTAAAATGTAGTCAGCTCAATTTTGCATACTTTTGCTTTCTAGAGAAAAATTGAAATTTGCTTCTTTTTCTTCAAGCTACAATGAATTAGATCTAGAATAGATATAAAACTTGATTCTAATTTTATATGACACTAAAAATATGTCTTAAACATTTGCGCTCTACTTTATGATTGAATATTTACTTTTACAAAACTCAATGTTTCGCCAAAAAATGTTGAAGTTTGTACAAAAAATGTGATATGCTGCTCAAATCTATTAGTATTTCGTGGCTCCGCCGCCTATGGCTATGTTCCTGTTGCTTTATCTTACAGGATATTTAAACTAAGGACGACTATAGAATTGATTAATCATCGCTAATCGTTTTTTTTATGTTTAGTGTGTTTATATTTTGTTTACATTATTTCAAAAGAATACGATCTTAAACTTATACTGTGTTTGTTTTTCTAATTTTCAACTTTTTCTTCGAATCTTTTCTATTGATTAGAATTCATTGATAAATTTTAATTAATTAAAATTGACAAGTCTTTTTAGTGGATTACAAAGAGTTTTTTTAAAAAATACCATAATCATTAAAAAAAAAAAATCGTTTTCAATCGAACATCTAACCGATTCTTTTTGGATGCATACATGACACTAGTACAATATTCATACAAAAACAAGATAAGTGTCAATAAAAATAATGATTATTTATA